GCAAACAGGCATGCCTGGTTCTATCATGCGGTAGCATTGGGAAATGGCAAGTGTACAAACAGTTGCATCCGTGCTGCCACCTGGTGGTTCTTGAACACGGCACGGTTGCAAACAGGCTGAGTTGTGCCTCCATGTGATGGCATTGGTAAATGGCAGGCATGCAAACAGGTGTGCCGCTGCTGCTAAGTTAAAGCATTGGGACATATTGGGGTGCAAAGAGGCATACCCTAGGCTTCCAAGTGGCAGCACTGGAAGATGGAGGGAACACAAGGAGGTGAACCCAGGGTGCCACAAGGCAGCTGTGGTGGTTTGAATGGAAACGGCCCCTTAGGCTCATATATTTGAATGCTTAGTCACCAGGGAGTAGAACTGTTTAAGGATTAGAAGAATTAGGAGGTGAGACCTTGTTGAAGGAAATTTGTCACTAGGGGTGGACTTTGATATTTCAAAAGTCCATGCCAGGTCCAATGTCTCTCTCTGCCTGTGTTTCAGGATGTAGCACTCAGCTACTTCTCCAGCAACATTCCTGTTTGTCTGCCAACATGTTTCCTGCCGTGATGATTGTTGGGAGGCCTTGCTGGCTGGCCAGAGGTTGCAGTATATCATGGCCTGGAAACTTTTTCCAAAGCTCGACCACACAGGACTCCCTCCCCCTAGCAAAATTTCCTGCCTCTGCCTGCCTTTGTCTGGAGAATGTCCCTGGGCCCAGAGGACAGACCTTATCTGAAAGCTGTCTCTAAGCCAGATGTCTGATTTATCTCTAGTGTGACCCTTGGCACAGATCACTGCTAGAAGCCTCCCCTGGTGCACAGATGTTATCTAAGACTTGTGCTAGGAGCTCTGTTATGTGACCCTACTGCCACATATGAAGCCTTATGATAGGACCATGCCACTTAATGAAAATTAGGGTTTGTCCCCAGGCTCCCCAGTCCTATATATTTCTTATACTCCGAAATAAAATTGAGCTGATTCACTGACATCTGTCTCGCAGAGGGCTGTCTCCATCATGTTCACAGGCCATAAAAGGATCTCTGTCGTCACTTCTGACCCTTTGTCCTCGTGGACTGATGGCCAACTGACCTCGAAGACAAAGGGGAACCCCCACAGATGATCATGAACCAACTCTCTGAAGCTTTAAGCAAGCCCCCAATTAAATCCTTTCTTTTATAAGATTTGCCTTTGTCGTGGTGTCTCTTCACAGCAATATAACGATGATTAAGACAGAAGTGCTGGTATACTTCTGAGTATGTGAACAGGTATGCTTGCAGCTCCATGTGGTAGCACTGGAACATGGCAGGTAGATAAACTGACACGCCAGGCTACCAGGTGGTGGTTCTGGGACACCACGGGCATGCAAACAGATGTACCCAGGTCACCATGTGGTGAATCTGGGACACACTAGGCATTCAAACAGCTATGCTTGCCTGATACATGTCTGTACAGGGAAAGAGCGTGGTGCAAACACGCACATCTGCACTGCTCTGTGGCAGTTCTAGGAAACGGTTTGTGTGTGAGCAGGTGTGCACCACCATGCTGTGGCTCTGGGACAGAGCATTCATAAAAGCAGGCGTGCCTAGAATACCAAATGGTGGACCTGAGACATGCATGGCAGATGTGCAAGCTTGCGTACCCACAAATGTCATGCTGTGGCGCTAGGACCCAACAGTCATAAAAACAGGCCAGCCTGAGCCACCACTTGGAGTCACTGGGCCTGACATGGTTACAAAGAGACTTTTCTGCATTGCCACATAACATGCTGGAACGTGGCTTACATGAAAACAGGTGAGCCCATGCCATGTGGAGGCACTGGTACATGGCGAGTATGCTAACAGTTATGCTCATGCCACCAAAGTCATGGCACTGGGACATAGCAAGTGTGTGAACAAGCATTATTGCACCTCCCTGTGGCAGTGCTGGGACATGGCTGGTGTATCAATAGTCAAGCCCTTTCTACCAACGGGTGACGCTGGGACATAGCACAGTTGTGAAGAGTCTTTCCTGTGCTGCTAAATGGTGGTGAAACACAGCACACAGGTAAACCGGTGTACCCACCCCACCAGCTGGTAGGGCTGGGACATGGCATGTGTGCAATCAGGCAAGCCCCAGGCCAGCACATGGTGGCCCTATGATATTGAAAGTAAGAGAACTGGTCTGCCCAGGCCACCACATGGCAGCACTAGGAAAGAGCAAGCATATCACCACATGAAAGGGCTGGGACACAGTAGGTATACAAAGTTATGCCCCGCCCTCCAATTATTGGCACTGGAACATGGCAGATGAGTAAACAAATGTGCCTAGGTTGCAATATGGTGGCACTTGGACATTGAAGACATACAGACATGCCCAAACCCCACATGGAAGGACTGGGACACAGCAGGTATGCAAACAGGTGTGTCCATGTCATCAAATGGTGGCCCGATGGCACAAACAGGCATGCCCAGCCTGTGTGCCAACAGGTGTTTCCAGACCACCACATGGCCACCTTAGGACCACAGAAGGTATGGTAACTGTCACATCAACTTGGGAACACATGTGGGTCATTGTTGAGTTCCTTCACATGTTGGCATGGTCAACATATTCACGTTCAGGATGGTTCTGAGTGCTGACACACATTACTGTGGGCATATGTGTTTACCCAAGTGACATTTTTATGTATTGTCATATGTAGGTCTGATGAGCATGGTCACACGTTGGTGTGAACACATGCATTCATAATCTAGACATTTTTGAGTGCTGTCGTGGACACATGTTCATTTATTTACCATTTCAGAGCACTGTCACATGTTAGCATGTGTACATGTGTTCACACACATGCCATTTCTGAGAATAGTCATATGTCTGTAGATGGAAGTTTCCTATGTCCCACCCAGTCCCAGAGCTGCTTGGTCCCAAGTAAACACACAGAGGCTTATATTAATTAGAAACTGCAAGGCCTATGGGTCAGGCTTCTTGCTAGCTAGCTCTTACAACTTAACTCAGCCCATTCCTATTATTCTATATTTTGCTACGTGGCTCCGTGGCATTACCTGTTCTCTCACATCTTGCTTCTCCTGGTGGTGGCTCTCAGCGTCTCCCTGTGACTCCACCCTTCTTTATCTCCATCTTCAGTTGGAATGTACTGCCTAACCTTATTCTGCCTCACGATTGGCCAAACAGCTTTATTTATCAACCAATGAGAGCAACACATATTCACAGCATACACAAAGACATCCCACAGCATGTGTCAGTATGTGTTTATATGTTCACAAGTGGAACCTTTCTGAGTTCCATTATATACAGGCATTGGGACACGGGTTTGCACATGGGATGTTTCTGAGCACTGTTACTGTCACATTTGTCAGCATTGGCATACATGTTCACATGTTGGTGCGGGCATGTGACATTCTTGAGAGGCATCAAGTATCAGTATGAAGTTTCTGAATGCCACGTGTCTATGTGGACATGTTTGTTCACACATGGGACATGGCTAAGCACTGTTACATGTCAACATGGGCATATGTGCTTAAATGCATCACACTGGTGAGCACTGATACATGTCTGCCTGAAAACATTTGTTCAAACATGTGATGTTTCTGTAAGCCATCAGTCAGTATGACATTTCTGAGCATATGTTCATATGCAGGTATATATATATATATATATATATATATATAAAACTGTGATCTTGTCTACCTATGACAGACATAAGAAATACATGTTTGTGTCTCTGGAAACATACACCTTCCTATTACAAAGCTAAGAAATACATGTCTGTGTTCTTATACATATAGGCCTATCTATAGCAGAGGTAGGAAATACATGTGTGTGAACCTGAACATATAGACCTACTTGTGAAAGACCTAGGAAAAACATGTATTTGTAAACTTGCAGCTACAGTTTTTCTCTCTGGGTTCCGCAAAGCCCCAGCAGTACCGTAGCCCACATATAAAATAAACACACAGAAGCTTATTTATTTAAACTGCTTGGCCATTAGCTCAGGCCTACCATTGTCTAGCTCTTACTCTTATACTCAGCCCATTTCTGTTAATCTATATGTCGCCACGTGTTCCGTGGCTTTACCTGCTGCCTCTACATGATGCTCCCTGGATGGCAGGCTGGCGTCTCCTCCTCTCTGCCTTCCTGTTCTCTCAATTCTCCTCTCTGCTAGTCCCACCTATACTTTCTGCCTGGTTACTGACCAATCAATATTTTATTTATCAATCAATCATCCACAGCAATTGGCCTCCCTGTGACAGAGCTAGAAAATGCATGTTTGTGGACTGGAACCTATACACCTTCCTATGGCATGGGTAGCAAATACATATGTGTGTGAACTTATACATGTACACCCACGGCAGAGCTAGAGAATCCATTTCTGTGACCATTCATATATAGGTCTATCTATCGCAGAGCTAGGAGATGAACATGTGTGTACACCTGTACAAAACTACTTTATTTGTTTTTAGAATAATAAGAGCCACCAGGTTTCATCATACAGCTGACCTCATCATAGTAACTTTTGAATTAAGAGTGGGGTTTCATTGCTATCTTTCAAGAAAGAACTTGCTTTTCCAAGGGATGGATTACAGTGGGAAAAGGACATGGGGTTGTTAGCTTCCACATTAGCTTCTGATTGGAAAGGAAAGCATAAAACAGGAGAATGAGGAAGGTGTTGGCTTGCTGCTTCTTACAGGTAGAAAGCTGAATGGTAAAGAAAGCACAACTCATTGGGACTGGAGAAATAAATGACTTAGTTGTTGAAAGCACTTGCTGCCCTTACAGGGGCACAGGTTCTATTCCTAGCGCTCACATGCTGGCTTACAACCATCCACAACTCCAATTCCAGGGGTCTAACACCCTCTTTTGACCTCAAAGGGCAGCAAGCACACATATACATATGGTACACATACATACATGCAGGCAAAACACTAATACACATACAATTAATCTTTTTTTTTTAAACAGAGAACACAACTCAGATAATTTGCCCCGCCCCCTCCAAAAAAAAAAAAAAAGCTTACCTGACATCAGAGAAATTGGACCCATCAGAAGAATCAGGTAATGAGGATGAAGAGAGGAAGACAAAGGTGATAGAAGATGCCCACAAGGTCCAACCTTTAATACAAAGAAAGGAAAATGCCAGTAACCCAGCCAGCAGATGAAAATCTAAATAATGGCCCAATGTAACAGGCCACGATAGTGAGTATTCTGTTTCTCAACTGCTTGAATTTAGAAATACCCTCAAACAACAAAAAGCATTCTATCCCAGACTGGTTCATGAGACTGTGGGATACGGGGGGAAATGGGGTCAATCTCTGCTGTGGAAGTACAGAAACTGGGTAATATAACTATTTGTCCATCCATGAGATGGTTACATAACCTGAAGAAATGTGAGTAAAATCAGATCCCCGATGGACTGTCTTGTAGGATCCATTAGAGACACTTGGTTATCAATAATTGATATCTGCATGAGTATCACAGACTAGAAGACCATAAAGGAGGGAGAGAATTAGGCAGTGTTTGATGCCCATTTCTTTGGGCCTGATGGAGATATGTTTGCAGGAGAGTTAAAAGAAGTGATTGATTCAACAGGGACCTCATTAATGGTATAGGGTTTTAGTAGCTTTGCTGAGCTCCATGGTAGGACATAATCATTACTCAGAAGCAGCTCTGGCAAATTTAAATGACAGAGGTTAGCAAATATATTGGGTTTATAAAACACAAAATCAATCAAGACAGGATCAAAGAATGGAAAAACTGACCAAGAAGTCTGTAAGATTTGTGTAAAGCTAGAGTTCCCAGAGAAGAAAATCAATAGAAAGCAAAATACTGTGCTAATAAACTCCAGGAAGGCTTTCAAGCCTATGCTAACAGTGGATAGGACAGGATAGGCAATTGTCCCAGAAGAGTATGTGGTATAAAGTAGACTGGGAGTAGAGACTGTTCACCCAAGCTGGAGCCTTTCAACAGCGAGTTGTGGCTGATGGAAAGGAAATGGTGACAATATTGTCCTGGAGCTGTTCAGAACAAGGAAGCCAACCCCAAAGGCTGGCCTGAAAATCTAGACTAAAGCCCTTGTACTAAGGAACACAAGCCACATCCACTGAGAACATCAGGATTTGAGGGATGTGTGATGGACTCATGGCAACACCATCATGTGATAGAGGAGACTGGAGAGTTTAAAGAAAATGCCTATAGATCATGGAAGGTTAAATGGAGTAGTGTCTCCTACTCATGCTCCTGTACCCAATATTGCTCTTAGCGACATAGTGAATTCTAGGCCAGTTTGGCATTCTTGAGACCCTGTCTGAAAGACATAGAAACAAGAATAAAATACAATTTCCAAAGTGAAAATAGCAAGGGATCAAGAAGATTAAAACAACACAGCTGTTAGGCAGATAATCCTCTTATGGTTTAAATATAGCTAATGAAATTAGGTCAATAGGAATGGTTTTGCCAGTGTGTGTGTGTGGGGGGGGGGGGGGTATCTAGTGGCATCATTGTGGTACTTTGTGGCAAGGTCCACTTTGCTAAAATATCCATTACCACTAGCCTGAATAATTAAGGACATAAGACAGACAAAAACTAAAAAATGAATGTTCATTTACTGAGTTAATGAGCAACAAGGACTGTCAAGCATGTGCACCTTCAATTTTTAAGTACTTTCATTTTATTATTTTATTTGACACGCGGTCTCATGAAACCCAGGGTGTAGCCCCAGACTCACTCATTATTTAGCCAAAGATGCCTTGAACTTCTGATCCCTCTGCCTCTATCTTCCAAATGCTAAGTTTATAAGCATACCATGATCAACTGAGGCAGGCACACATAGGGACTGCTTGTACATGCTTCTCTTCTACAATTCACTTTCAGCCTAAGATCCTCACTCGAATGTACTGTGTATTCAAACCCCTCTCCTAACAATGCAGGCAGTAACCTAAAACTCCCACCTTCAATCCAGCCACATACATACACCACTCCAAACAATGTAATAAGTTTCTTCTCCCCCAACATCCATCAGATTGGAATAATTTATATGTAAATGTATTTCTAGTTATATCTGGGTAGGGTATGATGGGAAAGAGGCTGATATGACATGAACTAATTTTAGGTGAGTGAGTCATAAAACAAACTGTCCTCAGAGTAAATTTTTAGCATCTTATACCTGTGCATAATTGGACATGTACATGATTATAATTAGATGCTCCATAGGAAGGGACATGCACAGTAGAGAAAAGGTAACATAATTCAAATATGTCAATCAAAATAGAGAACTGCCCATGCTATACCTCTTAGTAACCAGCCCCTCCTTTCTTTAGATCCCATAAAAAGAAGCCCCAGGTAATAACTGGGACCCTTGAGTATTCTCTCACTCCATGTGGCCTGCTGTCATTCTTGAATTACTCTGATGCATTCTATTACTTCGCTTTTGAATAACGTTTCTTGGCAACATTGCAATCTCTGTGTGTCATTGTTTCAGTTCTTTGAACAAGGGGCCAAGAACCTCAAAACGTCCACTCCAGACATTGGCTATCCCTGTAGATGTAACCAATCGTATTATTAAAATAAGAAACACAGAG